AAGGCTGGATGGCTGCCTGGCTGGCTGGCTGGCTGGCTGGCAGGTCGGGACTTGCCTTTCAGGTTAGCTCCCAAGGGTGCGCACTCTTGAAAAGAGTCATAAAAAATACATTTTATTTTAGAAATTGCATTAAAATTGTCATAAAAGAGCAGAGAACAGAATGAGAGCAGACAACTGCGACGACTGTCACTCCTGTCCGTCTGTCCGTCTGCCCGTCTGTCTGTCTGTTGGTCTGTGGCAACCCAAATCAAATATGGGAAGCTGACAAAATGTGACAATTACTGGGGACAGTTGGCACATAGAAGAGTCGTAAATGCCAGAGGCCACAATTTAGCTCCACTCACTGCCTGGATTGGGTAAAACTAATGAGTCGGTCGGGGCTTGGTTCGACTACGACTATGACGACTACGACGACGACGACGACGACGACGACCTCGTCGAGTATAAGCCTATAAATACCTGATTCTCAAATCGCATAAAAATTATCTGACTATAAAACTTAAATGACTTAAGTGGTGTCCCATTTCCTCACACACACACACACACACACACACACACGCCGGCAATAAATAAAGCAAAACTTTTTATGTATTTCAGTTTGTTTTCGACATTTTTAGTGGCATTGAAATCAATTTTCATATCGTTAATCTTGTAAATTATGCATGTCGGATGTCATGTTAATTCATTATTCTCCCGGGACCATTTTGAAGTTGTTTTCTCTTTGTGTAGTTTTTTTTTTTTTTTTATATTTATGTATTTTTAGTATTTGGAATTTCGGCACTTTGGTAGCGCTGCTAGCTTGACTTAAGTGGGTGTTTTATGAACCTGTTTTCAAACAGTTTACGATGCCAAAGATCACATTTGTAAGAAGATAAACGATATAAACTAAAAATTATTTACATAAGAAGCGAGAAATCCAAGACGGAATAAATGATTTTATTTAACAAATGAATATCATGAAAAATTTATTATGTAGGGCGAGGAATAAAGATATATATTGATAATATTATATTAAGATAACAATGGAATAATAATAAATGGCAAACCATATTGAATACGTCAACAGCTCTATCTTAACAATAATCTTGGCAGCTCTTAAAATATAGCTATAAGAAATAGCATCACTCTTATTAAGTCACCTTATGTTACATCTATAAAATTAGTTTCTCCGGACTGTGCGAGACTTTGGTTGGGTAAACCTTGTGTTCAATTCAATTTCTATAACAATCGAATAAGCTGAAATCGAGTATTGAAATATAAGTTATACTAGCGTAATACTAGCATGCTATAGTTGAGATTGCTCGACTAGGAAATGACCTGGATTAAGTATTCATATGTGTGTATTCTTTTTTTAAATATACCAATCCTAGTACTTTTGATAAATTAAGTAAAGTTTTTATTAAATATACTAACCTTCAGAGTCAAAGTCTATCTATCGATTTTTATCGATAATAAGAAAATGGGTTGAGTCATTGATCAATCGAAAAAAATAAGCTCTTGCTGCATATAGAAAAATAAATAATTATCTATTTTTTGTAGGATATGATATTGTTGCATTCACACGATCTGTCGATTTTTATCGATAGTAAGGAAATATTAAGAAAATGGATTTGATTCATTGAACGATCGGAAAAGATAAGCTGCTGTTGCATATATTTTTACGGTTTATGATATTGTTGCGTTCACACGAACGGTTGGACGGATAGGCGAACGGACTTATTAGTCGCTAGATCGACTCAACATATCGTCCTAATTGAGAAAATCTATGATATATTCTACAAGACCATTATATCTCGAATTCCGAAATTTCAAGGTTGGGTGCAGGGTATTCAGTGAAATGGACATGCACACGATGCGACAATGAGTGCAAAAGGACCAACCACAAGGACCTCGGTTACATAAGCCCGAGGGCCTGGCAGACGCTGGCATTGTAGCTGGCAAAGCTTGTGACACATGTAAATGCGTGCTGACAGCGCTGGGGCAGCCAGTACAGAAAAAAGAGGGGGAAAACACGAAAAATAAAAGAAAACTGTCAACAAAATTAATGTCATGCGAGTGCAATGCAATGAAAAATTATGGCCCGGCTTTATGTCAATAACAAAAGGCTGGCAACGAAGCCGTCGCCCGCCGGAGCCGAGACGATGATTGATTTGACAGGACAACGTGGCGGAGCGCGCGATAGATGCAATGGACGGGATCGATTGGGTTATGCATATGGCAAAAAGGCAAACCACAACTAAACACGAGCTGAGCCAGCACCAACTGCAATTCGAAGTGCCGCAGGCCGAGCTCAAGTTCTATTAGTCTTGCAGCTTTCTGCAACTCTGCTGCGGCTCTGACCAGATATTATTATTTTTGCAAGCATTTGTCAACATTTGTAAACTCTGACAGCTCACGCCCGGTGGCGTTGCCCGATGCCTCGGGCAGTGTTTTCACTTCACCCTTCACGCCATCCATCCAGCCGTCCATCCACCCCGGCGTCTTTGACAGCTCTCGCTCCTTTTGCCCGCGCAGGCGAGAGTCGGCTTTACGCGTAATTAATAACATGTACACACAACAACTGAACCCAAGTACTTAACGCGGCGCAGGGGCAGGCGATCCTCGGGCTTATGCGTACGTCCGGAGGTGTTTACAAGTACTCCAACCCACACACACACACACACACACACACACACACACACACACACACACACATGTGCCTCTGTCCAGGGACACTGGAAATGCTCGCATATGGCCTGTGTGTGGTTTTTATGTGTTTTGCCAGGCTAAATAACACGACTCACTTAGGCGTTTATTTGCTGTATCTTTCAGCAGAGGCAAAACGGAAAGAGAGATAGATATATCTGCTTATCTGCTTTTGCGGGGCTATCTGGGAGCAGACCGATATTTTTTGGTCCGACATATTGTTTATATTTCTATGAATTCCGTATATTTACATCATTTACATTGGGGCATTGTAAGCAAGTATATTTTATATATTTTTCTCAAATATATTTATATTATTCTACTTCTTCAAAATTAATCATTCACAGTGGAACACTTTGGAACAATTGTGGAATATTTTTTTTTTTTACCAAGAGATAAATTTTAGAAAATGAAAAAAGCTTAAAATTAAGAATTTAATTCAAAATAAATTTGACAATAAATAAATTGAAAACGATACTAATGCTCATTTCAGTTTTCATTTGTTTTTTAGCGATTCCAATGGAAAAATTATTATTTTTTTTCATTAGTAAATTCTGTAGATTTTTTTTTTTTTTTTATAAATAAAATCTTTATATTTTATCATAATCAAAATGTATATACAATTTTTATTATATATATTATCCATTTTACCCATAAATCGATTTATTAAATTTTTTAATGTTTTTAATAATTTATTTGTTTTATTATTATTTTTTTAAATTTTAATTTAATAAATACATACATACAGATGTACTTTTCCCAGTGAATCCCAAATGAAACATTTTCCCCAGAAAATGTTGTTTACAATGAATGGCAAGCAAAACGGCGAATATCAAAACAGCAGCTAGAAAACGAGTTCCCCTCAATCGTACCAGGTATAGCGAATTACGCAAAGGTGCTATAGCGGCGGCAGAACTCCATCTGCAAAATGAAAGAGTCAAAGCCCACACAAATCATATTTTTCAGGGCATGGACTGAGGCATATCAAATTTCGAGCAGATTTCAATTTGATTTTATGTGCCTCCGGTGACGACAAGGGCCATGGACCCCGGCATGTCATGTCATGGGCATAATGCTGTCAGCCCATATTTCTCAACCAGAAGATCACAAACAAAGGGGTGTTTGCCCAACCTCAACCAGCCCCGGCCAGAGCCCATCCCCTGGTGCCGCACAGCTGGGGGTGTTTTTGCGGCGACTGCGGAATGACTGCCGTGAATAAAGCGATTTGTCTTCTTTGTTGTTTACGTTTGGTGTTATAAATTATGCGCTGGCTTTTCGCCCAAAACGTACGTCGCCCGTCGTAGACATATCTGAAATTGTCCAAAAATTATTTGTGCATAACAGGGATAATCATAAATCTGGCTAATTGCACTTTATTGGGGTCTTTCGTCCACATCGCTCGTCATCTAGCATACTATCTCTCTCTCTCTCTCTCTCTATGTCGCAGTCGGTGGTGGTCCATATCAATCTTCAGGATAAAATTGAATTTGACATGCTGCTCATAGGCATTAAATCTGAGCAGTTTTATAGCCTGACAAACGGCCCTCGTATAAATTTGCAGCTTTTTGACGATGCTGTCATACGATAAGACTGTATGGGGCTTAAATACCCCTCAAAGGTACTTAGATAACCTTAAATTCAATTTTAATTACATTCTAAGTACTCGCTTCATTTACAACAAGGCATGAATTAATTTGACTAGATATAATATATATTACCCATATGCATGTATTTCTTATTAATAAAAATAAATAAATAAATATTAAATACTTTTTATGAAGTTTATATCAGTTTTCTATGTTTGATTTAAAAATGTTTCTCTTTGCATAATATTATTTGACTAATCATGAGTTTTTACATAAAAATACAAATTGATTATATATACCTCAGACAATACTTATAATAATATCTTTATTTATGACAATTTTATATTATTTTTCGGCATTGCTTACCTTTGATATATACAGCATAAAATCCTGATTATACATATACATATATATAACCTATATCTGAAAATGATGTATCACTCTATATGTATACTAATATCAAATATTAAATCCTTTTATTTATTTTCGATCTCTTTATATGCCCATTGTTCCACAGACAAACAAGCTACTATATACATTCCTTATGCCAATACTCATTAACTATGTATGTAGTTAATGCTTAATCATTAGCTTGAACTAAACATATATGTAATAAGTAATCAACAATGAATGGTATCTTTATTTTCATTTTAATAATTACAGTTGTATATTATATTTACTTAAGTTTTTTATGGTAATTTCTATAAAAGACAATTTAACACTCATTCATTTATCATTGCCCAACTTTATTTGCACATCTTTCCAAATGTCTTACGCTCCTCTCAGTCCACACGAATACTTCTTAACTCTTAAGTACACACATAGAAACTGCGCTTCCTTTTGACACCCAGCCTTCTTAACTAAATCAACATCCACTTCACATACAAATAAGAGACATTTTGTGCGCACTCGACGTACGCAAGGGATTAAGACAATCCTCACAGAGGGGCACATGAAAAATGCATTACACTCGGGCCGCGGAGTCGCCGACACATAAGTAATTAGCCGAGCACGGGAGCGGAGTGGAATATGTATTAAGATTGAAGCTGAAGAGGCATTTCCATTTCCATTTTCATTTTCATTCCCATTTCCATTTCCATTTGCATTGCCTGAGCGGAGAGTGTCTCTCCAACGGTAGCGGTGGCTGTTGAAAGGCAACTCTCAAATGGCGGGACCCGGTTCCAGATTTTATTCAAATGAATCTGAAATTCGAAATGAGCATTTAGTATGCATGCGTGTGAGTGTGAGTGTCAGTGTGAGTGTGTGTAGGTACATGGCTTTTGATCTTTGTTGCGTTTGTTTGTATACAATTTGATGGCTCGTGTTGATGGATCGTAAACGTGAAATGATGTTCACGATGCCGCCGCTGCCACCGCCTCCGCCTCCATCTCCGCCAGCGACCCCGACTCCGACTCCTGCTGCGTCTGGCCCAGTGGCCTGCCTGCCCGTCTGATGGCGATGACGATGATCAACGCAACGATGACGGCACAGAAGTGTCTTTGATCATTTGCCGCGCCAGTTGGCAGTCAAAATGTTAATTTATGCGTTGCTCCCACCTACACATGGTGCAGCACAGCAGCATTAACAACTTTACAAACATGTTTGAGGTTTTTATTACGGTGTGAAAATGCTCGATTGTTCCGTAAAATAAAAAAGGATCAAACAAGTATACGGGTGGGCAATCGTGGCATTCCGGCAATGGGCCGCAGCACCAGAAACGCCCAACGATGCCGACATCAATCCCCAGCCCCGTTCCCCGTTCACCGATCTCCGTAGAGATCGCTACGTAGCTTTCGGGTGATTGATGCGCCGTGCGCACCAAAACAACAAGATCGACCACAGACACATCGCCAATGAGGTGGAGGCAACAACAGATCTTCATTATGAACAAGTTGTCGGTGAATTTTTATTGTTGGAAATCGATCAAACCACTTGACGGCTGATCAAAGCCACAGGAACCGGGCAGTCGGCGTATTTTATACGATTTAATTAATGCCTGTGTAAGTTTTATAAAATATTTTCGCAATCTAAAAATAAATTCGCAGCGCTTCTTACGAATGATCTGCATTTGAATAGTTTAAAGCTGTTCAGCTTACTACAAAATTTCTGTGAATTATGACTACAAAAGTTTATGTTTCATAAATTCAAATTTGAAAATCGGACAATATTTGTCAATGCGAATGGGAATTAAAATGAGACTGAGTATATATTTAAAGAATTTTTAATTTAATGGAAATATATTTGAGGTATTTTTTTAAGAATTTAAAGTTAATATTTGTGTTAATTTAATAAAATGAGAATTTATTTTCCGTAAGACATAAGATAATGGGAATATATTATTTATTAAATTAATAAATTATTTTATATATTTATGTAAGATTTAATAATAAATTATTTTGTATTATAATTAAAAATTATAAAATTAAAAATACAAATATTTTTCAAGGATATACGTCTTAAAAATAGATTATACATCTATGTCTAAAATCTATATACGTATTTGTATATTTTTTATGCATTGCATATATATTGGTTGATAAGGTATTTTCTGTGTTTTAATAATTAGTATTAAATTTAGAGATTATTTAATATAATAAAAATCTAAATTTAATATTCAAGCTTATTTAATAGAATGAGAATTTATTTTCTGTAATATGTAAGATAATGGGAATTCATTTTCTTTGTATGTAATATTTGTTAATACTTGATTTTATCTGTATAATTTGATGTTAAATTAATTTTTTTTTTTTTTTATTTATAATACTTTTCTGTACTTTCTGTATTTTAATAATTAATATTAATATTTTAGAGTATTTAATATAATGGGAATATGTTTTCTTTTTGTCTGCATTACTTAGTATGTAATAGTTGAGTCAATTTAATAAAATAATAATTAATTTAATATTTAATTCATTAAAAAAATATTAAATACATTGATAATTCATTTCCAACTATTTTATATAATGGAAGTTTATTTGGGAGTTTTAATTAAAATGATAATTAATATCTGATTAAAATATGTTTTTCCAAATTCGAGATACGAGATAAAACGAGATGGTGATCAAACGCGCTCTTGGAATGCAATATTATACTATATAAATTATTATATGTTAATATTATTATTCAAATAAATATCAAAGCTGAATTAAAGCTGAAATACATTCAGTATAAGGCATAAATTGGCTTAATAATTAATCAAATATTTTATATTATCAGCAATCAATTTATAGTAGCACTGAGTTTTTATATTTATAAAGAAAAGAGTTATAAATAATAATTATCCACTTACTTTTTGAAATCCAAAATTCGATTCGATAGATATAATACCCATTTACCCGCAAACCTCTCACCCAAAGAAATGCAAACACCAATGCGCTTTTTATTTAAGATATAAAATTGAGTGCTGAAATACTTTGGCAAGAGTTTCACATCAAAACAAAACTGCGCAAAATTTTTTTCGAATTTAGTAGGAGATGAAATTGTCAGGCCGGCATCAAATACTCAAGATAAATACTATGACACATGTGGACATGGCTGCTGAGGCGCAGAGGACGGCAAAAAACTGTTCGTCTGATGGCTTGATTGGCCTGCCAGCAGAGTGCATGGGCAAAAGAAACATTTGTCTCGCTTAATTTAAACAGATTTGCGAGATTATTGTCATGCCAACGTTAAGGCAACAATTTCAATTTTGCCGCGCGCAGCAATGGGAGACGCAGCTGACACACTGAACGGGACAGAGGCGAATTAACAACCTCAATCTCAGCCAGCAGCTCCAACTCCGAAGCCAACTCCAACTGCAACTCGCATGCTGTGGCGGGGGCTTGAAAAGAAAGAAAGTTTGCAGTCAACAAGGAGAACGATGCAAACGCATGCGAATCTTGACAGCCGGCAACTTTTAATGTTGCCCCAAGAAAGCACTGCAAAACGGGGCAAGCCAAACCAAAAAAAAAAAGAGCAGAACAAAATAAAAAACAGAGGCCAAGCCCAGAGCACATAATAAAAGATGCCAGCAGAGGCAGCTCCTCCGATTCCGAGTGGGCTGTTGGATGGCAGAACAAATTTGCAATGTCGCTGTGACTTTGCGCCAGCGTGACAGACACTTGCACTTCAGCTCCCGCTCTCTGCTCCACTCTCTGCCTCCCTCTCTCTGTCACAGTTTGGAATGTGCACAAGCCATATTTAAAATGCTTTGAAGTTCCACCGCCTGCAGCACCAACTCCGACTCTGTGAGGCGTTGCCTCAGAGACGGGCGCGAAGCGACTTATGTTGAATGGTTGTCCGCTTGACACGATCAGAGCAGGCTTCGCTATCTCGAGGCCCGGTTGCAGCAACACATGTCCAGTTTTAATTGCTGCCATCAATGAATGAATCAGCTAACGGCCCCAGCTGACAGCCTGACAGCTGGACGGGCAGATAGACAGACAGTCGGACGGGCCGACTCTCCATCTAGCTGTTTAGCTAACTGCCAACTAGCTACTCATTTCCGGAAGTTGAAATAACTACTCGTAGCTTATCTTTATCGCAACCGTTGCTACTACTCGCTACTCGCTGCAAAGTCATTAGACTCTGTCACTCTGTCAGTCTGTCACTCTGTCAGTTTGTCTGCCAGTCAACTCTGCAGCAGCAGTTAGTCGAGCTTTGAGCTCAGACACTTGATCTCTCCTGTCAACTAGGCTCACGTCAAACTGTTTGGACAAGCTGTTCGAGTACATCATGTCAAACAGATGCAACACAATGGCGCAGCCATGACGCGTTCAACTAATTTTGTTAGCGATACGCCATGCATGGCGAATGCTCAATTACCAAATGATAATCGTGTGGCAAGCGAGATCATTTTTAGTTAGTTAGGCACAGCGATCGAGAGAGGGCGGATCTATTAAACCAGTTTTTAGATATAGCATAGAAAACTTTCTCCATATTCGTGCTTGACAAATGATGAATGCAATTAGTTCATGAAAATTTTGAAGAGAACTACAATATATATATGAGTAGAGCTTGGGTCTTGACAGGTTAGAGTACTTTATATTATTTTGCAAATCAAGTACAAATATCTATATATTAAAAAATATATATGTATATTAAATAAAATTTCTAATATTACCAAATAAATGAAATAACTTTTTATTGAGTTATATGTAATAAAATAAATGGGTTTTGTTTTGACTATATATAAATCTAATATTACAATTAAGAAAAAATAAAATATATTTAAAAAAAAATACAAATATTTCTCAAGGATATACGTCTTAAAAATAGATTATACATCTATGTCTAAAATTTATATTCGTATTTGTATATTATTTATGCATTGAATATATATTGGTTAGCTCTAGCTGCTTCCAGCAGGATGAATTACGGGCGTAGATAAATTAGTTAGTTAGCCATGCTCCTACTATTTAGTTTCATGATATAAAACTGACATTTCAGCAAATCAGATAACAACAAAATAATACTGGCATATAAATATACACAAATATATAAATATACACTACACAAAAGTTTACAAAATTTAAGATTTCTATCGATATTTCGTCACAATTCGAAATGTTTCGATGTATCGCTCGTCCAAGCTGTCTTCTGAGAGTATCAGTTCGATTCTTCAGCGCCAGCTCCGTAATACCCAAAGCTCTTCCTGAAGAAAAAGAAGTCGATGGAGAGAAGAAAAAACGAGCAAAAGCCGAGCCGAGCGAGCGATACTTGAAGTTCAAGAAAAAGCTGCTATCGGAAGTACCCCTGACTAACCTGCCGAAGACTATGCCGCATCCGGCACATGAGAAGGAGCCATTGAAGCGCTGGCCCAACAACACCAATCCGCATACGGGTGAGATTGGGGGACCGCCCGGGCCGGAGCCCACGCGCTACGGGGACTGGGAGAGCAAGGGCAGGGTAACGGATTTCTGAAAAGGGGATGGAGCAGCTGGTGGGAGGAGGGAACCAGACTTGGCTCACGATCTCTGATTTATTGGCTATGTTAACAACAGAAGCACCTACTATTTGTTCAAATCTAGCCGGCCTCATCCCGCGCAACGGTAGCTTCATCATCATCATTTTCTTTTGTGCTCTTCTGCGAAGGCGTTACATAAATTTTGATTTTGTGGTTTCCAGAATTTATGTTGCGCCAGCAACAAAATTTAAACTGATGCTCGTCCGTCCGGCGAAAGGGTTCCCGGAATAGAGTGCAGCTACCATTATTTATGATGGTGTTGCGGGGCCAGTGAATCGTGCCTAAGTCCAAATTCCAAATATTCCGAATGCGCTCGAGTCGATTCATTTGAAATCGAGGCGACAGTTTACGTGATTTTTATTTGAAAAGTGTTTGTATTTTCTAATTTGGTAGCCCTCGCGCGTAGCTCGCCGCTGTGGAACTCGAAAGGGGTTTTAAAATGTCATAAATTGTTCGAGGCGGCGTGGACAAATTTTGTGGTGGGCCCCGAAAAGAAATTTGGGAAATTTGCAGCTGTTTTCTCTGCTCAATCCCTCTTGACATTTTTGTGGTGTTTGCACTGATTATCTAGCTACACAAATAGAAAATTTCCCACAAATACCATCATCATAAAATAAATAAGATTGAGAAGTCGAAAAGTCTTGATAATTGGACAGCTTTAACGAAACAGAGGGTATCGCATCATGCTTTGAGAAATATTTTACTTACATGCTGATGTATTTATGGATCTCTGAACATGCTCTTCGGCGATTAACCACGCCGGATTCAATGGAAGCTTAGTGAAGGATTCAAAGAATTATCTTTAGATCGACTAATACAATCGGCTATTCTTAAGTACATATTGATGTATGAATTCAATTTGCATATCAAGATTTAACTAGACGCATGACACTTGATTGGTTCTCCCATTAGCTAGATCCAGAGTATTTAGTTAGTCGATTTCTTATATCTTCATTGTATCGAATTTGTCACACTTCGATGACATAGAAACTGAATCTTTGTTATGGGAGAGTTGACAGAAAATAAACGACGGCTGTCTAGATTCATTATGGTCAGAATGGTAGATAACTAACTCCATAAATCCAGAGGAGTTCATGTATAAATATATAGACATGGAATATAAATAATTGAAAGAAAGATAGATCCACAGATTAAATGGGAAGATAGATGGATATTAATATAGCCAATTTAACAATGGAAATATATCTATT